ACCAAACTTGGCATCAGACACTGGCTGACGCCCTCTCTCTCTCTCTCTCTCTCTCTCTCTCTCTCTCTCTCCCTCCCACCTCCCTCGCACCTCCCTCCCTTCTCTCCTTCCTTTCCTTTTTCCTCTGTCTGGGCCTTACCTACCTTCCGCCTCTCTTCCCTTCTTTTTGTTTCTCTCCTTCTCCTGTATCTCCTCCTTTTCTTCCCCAACCTCCCTTCCTCTGTCCACCCCTGGTTGGTTTGCTTTTCGCCCTACCCCCTGCAAGCTGATCCTCTCTTTCCCCCTCGCTCCATCCTGCCCTTCCTTTCTTCCCCTCCCTCTTCCCAGTTTTTCCTGGAACCTCCTTTCTTCCCTTCTCCTCCCTTCTGTCCTGTTCCTCCCTTCCCCCCCTTTTCTCAGGCCTTTTCTCTCCCTTTGTTTGCCTGCTCCCTTGGTTCTCACCCTCCCTGCTTCCTTCTATCCCTTCCTCCCTTCTTTCCTCTTCTCATCCCTTTGCTCCCGTTTTACCCCGAATCCCTGCCTCCCTGCCTCCCTCCCTCCCTCCGTCCCTCCCTGCCTCCCTCCCTCCCTCACTGCTCTTCCTTTCCTTACGTTCCTTTCCTCACTCTGTTCTTTTTTTTCCTTCCATTGTTCACTCCCTCCGCTTATCCCCGTGCTCCCTTTTCTCCCTCCCTCCCTCCTGCCTCCCTCCCTCCCTCCCTTCGTTCCCTCCCTCCCTTCCTGACTCCCTCCCTCCCTCCCTTCCTCCGTTCCTCCCTCCCCCCCACCCTCCCTGCCCTTCTCTTCCCCTTTTCCTTCTTTCCCCTCCTTTCCCTGCTTCCCTCCCCCTTCCCCTGCCTGCCTTTTGTCTCTCTCCTTTGCCGGCCCCGCCCCCCAACCCTCCATTCTTCCCTTACCATTCTGCCCTTACCCGTGCACTACTTTCCCCCCTGCTACTTCATCCTCCCACCCGGTCCCTTCCTCCTCCCTCCCTCCCACTCCCTCCTTCTGGCCCTGCTTTCCTTTCACTCTCTCCCTCCCTATCGTCCTCATTCTCTCTCCCTTTGCCATCTTTCCTCCTTCCTTCTCCTCCCTTCTATCCTCAGCCTCCCTCTCCCCCCGCCTCTCCTTCCTTCCCCTCCTCCTCTTCCGTCCTACCTTCCTTTTGCCTTTGTTCCTTCCTTCCCCCTTCCTTTCTTCCTCCCTTCCTCCCCCCCTCCTTCCCTCCCTCCCACCCTCTCCCCCTCCCTCCCCTCCTAACCTTCCCCTCCCTCCCCTTCCTCCCTTCCCTCCTTACCTTCCAAGTTAGTTTCACTTTGAGGAAAGTGCATGTATCCAGAACGTGGTTTTCGCTGATTCCCTTTGACGAAACCTTGGGTTTTTAGTCTTTTGATGTATTTACTATTTAGTGGTATACGCAGAGACAGACAAATTCGTACACGCAAAAGCGCCTTCGTGGGATTCACTTTTTTTACCCTCCCTACCCTCCCTACCCTCCCTACCCTCCCTTTTCCGCCTCCCCTTTTTTTCTCTTCCTTCCTTCCTTTCCTTCAATTCTCTCCCTTCCCGTCTTCCCTCTCCCTCTCTCCCCCCCTCTTCTGTCTCTTTTCGCCTTCCCCTCCCCCCCTTTTCCTCTCGCTGCTGTCGCAATCCTAAACATGGCGCAGAACCAAGAATCACCAAAGTGAGTAGAAACAACAATGCAAAGCAGCGAAAGACTGAAAAGACATCAATCTGACTCATCAGACTCTGGACTCGGCACGCACGTGCAGCATCACACATGAGACATGCAAGGAGGGGCATACATGGAAGAAAGAACGTATCAGCTGAATGACAATAGCCTCTCATCAAAGTCTCTGGGAGATGCACTCCAAAATAGTGACCAACTTTCTCTCTCCAAACACACACACACACACACACGGGTTTGTTTCATATTTGCAACCGCACGAGCCGCACATTCATGCGGAGTTCCGTGCAGGGGGTGCCTGTGCAGAATCGTGCAGGTTTTTTATTTTTATTATTATTATTTTATCTTTTTCTGGGAGAGGGAACAAGGGGGTGCATGACAGGAAGATAAGGATATGGAGAGGAGAGGGGGATATGGAGAGGAGGAGGAGGAGGACAAGGAGGACGACAAGGATAGCGAGGACGAGGAGTCGTCGTCGAGATGGGGGGAGGAGAAGAGATGGACGGAGGGAAAAGAGGAAGGGCAGGAGGAGGAGGACGAGTGGGAGGAGGAGGAGACATGGACGGCGAGGAAGGGGAGGACACGAGGAAGGGAATGAGACGAGGAGGCATGGCAGATGAGGAAGTACGAGGAGGAGGAGGAGACCAGGAGGATGAGAAAGTGCAGGAGGAGGAGGACGAACAGGAGGAGGACGAGTCGGAGGAGACGAAAAGGAGAAGGGAGGAGGAGACATGGAGGATGAGGAAGGGGAGGAGGAGCAAGGTGAGGCAGAGTACTCCTGTAAATCTTTTTTCATCTCGCTTATAATTTTGGCGGGGGGGCTCAAACGCACCATTTCCACCCTGGCCTTTTTTTTTTTTTCCTGAGGGAGGTGTCGGGTCGTTCCCCGCACACGTCGTGCGCCGCACGGGATCGGTTGGGCGCGTGCGCCGCACGTAGGGAACCGCCCGCACGATGTGCGTTTGCAAGTATGGTTTGTTTAATTAAGTTTGTGGTTTTGTGGGCTGACGCGGAGGGCTCTCCAAGTTTTTTCGGACCTGTAGCGGATGGGGTCGGTGCTTTTTTGCTTGTGGAGTTAGGTAAGTTGCCTTTTGCCCTCCACCCTTTATGGATTATGAAATATATGTGCAAGTGTGCCGCTTCGGCGGCAGACGGGTGTGTGGGCACTTGGCGCTGAACCACACAAACGTGGCCAACCTTGCATTTTCTATTATATTGTCTGTCTATACTTTTCGTTATGGATGGTTGGTTATGATTTGTGGAGGGAATGAGGGAGAGAATTTGGGGTGCTTTTTTTCAAAAACACATCCCGGTCTTGGTAGCTCTCTGTTCTGGCAGATTTGAGCAGTTAGGATCGGGCTTATACTAGTGAGCTACTCTTTCTCTGTGGATGGATGTGTTTTGCTGGTTTGTTTTTTTATACATGGCCTAATTCTTTGCCCTGCATTGCAGCATGGGCAAGTAATGTCTTTGGGTGGCCACAAGTTTTTTCTGGGGCGGGAGTTTGGGGTTTTGGCCACAATATCTTTGCGATGAGGCCCAGAGTGTTTGCTGTGGGTGTGATTCCCACGGGCTGCTCTTTCGGAGCACGCGGAAGAATGGGTTAGCCTCTAGGGTGTTTTAAGCAGTAGTGCTCCTGGTGTCGCATGGAGATCTTGTTGAATTTGGCATGGTACTCGCAGTGGCCTTGCTGTAGCACTAGTACACCATGCGATTCAGCAGGCTGTGCGGCAGGAAAAGGTTCATGGCACTCTTGGTGTTGCGTACAGGTCCTGTGGTGTATTTTTTATTTGTGGTGGCGTTGTAGGCCGGCACAGAGGGCTCTTAAGTCTTTCTTTTAGACCATTGGCATGTGTGGCCGGTACTTTTTTGTTAGTGGAGCCTTTTGTGTTATGCTGTTTTGTGGTTTTGTGGGCCGACGTGAAGGGCTCTCCAATGTTTTCGGACCTATGGCGGATGGGGTAGGTGCTTTCTTGCCGGTGGAGTCCTGTGTCTTAGGTAAGTTGCTTCTTGCCCTCCACCTTCTATGGATGAAATAAATATATGTATATATGTATATGTGCAAGTGTGCCGCTTCGGCGGCAGACGGGTGTGTGGGCACTTGGCGCTGAACCACACAAAAATGGCCAACCTTGCATTTTCTTTTATATTGTCTATATACTTTTTCGTTGTGGATGGTTTGTTATGATTTGTGGAGGAAATGGGAGAGAGAACGTGGGTTGCTTTCACAACACACACACACACACACACACACACACACACACACTGGTTGGATATGTCTTGCTGGTTTTGTTGATTATACACGGTCTGATTCTTTGCCCTACTTCAGAGGATGAGCTGTTTGGATGTTTATGGGTGGTCACGAGTTCTCTTTGGGGGGAATGTATGCTTTGTTGGACGGCGTGGAAGGCTTTCCCAGTTTCTTCGGACCCTTAGCAGGGGGAGGTCGGTGCGCTCTTGCTCAAGGAGTCTTCTGTCTTAGATAAGTCTTAGATAAGTTCTCTTCTTCCTCCTCTTTGGCAGTGGCGCGAGTGTGTAGTTTGAGATGAATGTCGGGAGTGCCAATGCTGTTATATTTGCTTGTTTTTGATAAATGAGTTTTTGGTTTTGTGGGCCGATGTGGAAGGCTCTCCCAAGTTTTTTCGGACCTTTGAGGGGGTCGGGTTGGTGCCTTCTTGCTGGAGTAGTCTTCTGTCTTAGGTAAGTTACCTTCTTCCCTCCATCCCCTTATGGTTTGAAATACATATGTATGCATATGTATATGATGTGCAAGTGTGCCGCTTCGGCGGCCGACAGGTGTGTGGGCACTTGGCACTGAACCACACAAACATGGCCAACCTTGCATTTTCTTTTATATCGTCTATCTATACTTTTTCGCTATGGATGGTTTCTTATGATTTGTGGAGGAAATGGGAGAGAGAATTTGGGGTGCTTTTCTAAAATACACACACACACACACACACACACACACACACACACACACATACACACACACACACACCCCTGCGCGTGTGCGCAGACTATCTGGGTGCTTATCTGATGGAGTGTTTGTGAAGGTGGTTCACAAACAAAGTGGCATGGTCAAAGTAACTAATTCCACCTGGAACACGTGTTCTTTTTGTTGGTTTTTTTCCCAAAGAGTTTGGGCCAGAGTTCAAAAGAGGCGCGTAAGAAGTTTACCACTTTGAGAAACAGCTGACATTGTCTAGGCATGGTTGCCCAGAGTCGTCATGAATTACCAGTTTATTAGGCAGTGAATAATACGTCGATTGGCTGGCATTTTGTGGATGCAGGTGAGCCAGAAAGTGGAGTGGTGAAAGTGGAACCAGCCTCTCCTGTTGCTGTAAGGTTGAGAGGACTGAAGTTGCTCCTTGGACCTGAGCTGCGAATGGTCTATCCCGTCATTCTGAATTTCGCGGTAAGGAAATGTACCCTGTGTCTGTCATGACTAATGCGACCATGATGGCTGATATGCTAAGTGTGAATATAGGGTGGCTGACCCATGGATGGGGTGCAGAGCATCCTTGCCTTTCTGTTCGGCAGGGCCATCGAGGTGGCCGCACGCCATCATGGGCTCTGTTGAGGCTGCGGGTTGGGTTTTGTGGATTGCTTCACTCGGACCTACCAGCTTACCAAGCAAGTGACAGACAACTTCACTAGGCTGGGTGTAACTGGAGTATTAGACTGGATTCTACAAGTGCACTTTCCACTAAGTTGTATATGTCTTGATAATCCAGCTCTCGACGCCTCTATCACTGACTAATTGAGTAATCCTTACTGTAAGCAGTGTAAGGCATTAGTTCTCTATACTTGGACGGACCTTTCTGTTCATCCACACCACTGTAAATGGTCAGGGCATGGGCATATGCTGCTATTTGAATAATTTTATTTAAACAAGGGTACCTGTTGCGGCTTCGCTCGCAAGGAAATTAGGGGAAAACGGGAGAAATGAGTCGGGGTGGGGGG